CCAAGTGGGATAGAATTGTTCTAGATTTTCTTTACCTTTAGAAACACGTGTATCACAAGCTGTTTGAAAGTCTAACGATATACTGGTTCATCCTTATCCAAGTGCTTATTGACACTCCTTGTTTGGTTTTAGTTTATTATACCTCAATCAACCTATTATTGAGCTCAAACACATTTAAGGAACTTACTGCTGAACCAATATTTAGAATTGGGTGTAGTCAGCCTCATTCCTAGGGACAGTATTTTAAACATTATATAAAGATGTTACAAGGTATAGGAGACAAGATGAAGACTGTAGTACAGTAGTACCTCGGGTTACAGATGCTTCAGGTTACAGACACTTCAGGTTACAGACTCCGCTAACCCAGAAATAGTACCTCAGGTTAAGAACTTTGCTTCAGGATGAGAACAGAAATCGCGCAGCAGCGGGAGGCCCCATTAGCTAAAGTGGTACCTCAGGTTAAGAACAGTTTCAGGTTAAGAACAGACTTCCAGAACGAATTAAGTTCTTAACCCAAGGTACCACTGTACCCTACATGCTACATCCCTTAGAACAGAGGAAAAGTTACCCAATGCTGCCTTCAGATTTTGCCCCCAAATGGAACCACTATCATGCAGTGCCCCAGCTCCAATTCATTCTAAGCAGTTCAAACGTTTTTGATTAGTTTGTTGACACAAAAGGCATGGAGAAATCCAGAATAATGAGCAGAGCAATCTTCAAGATGCTGATTGTCCATCTGAGCCCTTAAAGCAGTTCATGTCCTGAACTTTGACTTGCATCTGATTAAAATGGGTCTAGAAAAGAGTCTAGATTATTGGTTTCATCCAAGAATCCCTGGATCTGGACCACCATAGCTCACTTGACCACCATACTTAGAAATGACAGGTTTGAAATCAGTGTTCAGGTGTTAAGTCTGCTGGGTCCAGTTTCTTTTTTTGACCCTGTCTCCCCTCCCATATAGAGTATAAAAAAATGTTTCTTCTGAAGGAAGAAATTCCTCCCTCTCCAATTCCTCTTCATCGATCCAAGATGGGGAACTTGGGCCCTTCAAATGCTGTTGAACTACAACTCTCATAATCTCTGATAATAGAGCATGTTGGCTGGGGCAAATGGGAGTTGGAGTCCAATGACAACATTAATGCTTTGCAATGAGACAGAGAGCTTGCCTGTTAGAATTACGTAGTTGGTCATGACGGAAAGGCACTGAGAAGGCATTCAGAGGCAATCAGAGCACTAAGAGTTTTCAGGCAACATCGGCTGAAGGTTATGCATAGATATATTATGAAGCAGCATGTCTTTGCTGGTTAAAAGAATGGATAAAATTAGACAATAAGGAATTATTAGACCTTGAAGGTTTTGATAACAGATTTGGATGGCAGGCATACCTATGGTGTGATAAGAAGAAAATTCATAAAGGTTTTGGGAACCACATCTTCAGGAATTCGTTGATAGAGGTATGGGACAGGTACAAAAATTTATTGGAACCAAAAGTTCCACACTGGCTATCTCCGTTAGAAGTTATGAGTGTAAAGAAAATTAATGTGAGAGGTAATTGGATCACATATGGTGATATGGTGATTAAAGAGGAGGGAAAATGGAAGTTAAAGCCATATGAACAAATTAAAGAACATGTATATGATTGGTTGCATTATTTACAGGTTAATGAAATGTTTAAAAAAGACATAAAAGAATGTGGATATGGAGAAAAAGATTCAAAGTTTCAAGTAGATATAATAAATAATGAATGTAAAATTCTGTCAAAAATGTATAAAATACTGTTGGAATGGAACATGAAAGATGAAGAGGTTAAATCGGTAATGATACAATGGGCCAAAGACTTTGGTTATAATATACAATTTGATGATTGGGAAAAATTGTGGAAAGAAAATCTGAAATTTACTGCATGTACTGCGTTGAAGGAAAATGTTATGAAAATGTTTTACAGATGGTATATCACGCCGGTAAAATTAGCAAAAATGTATAAGACATGTAACAAGTGTTGGAAATGTAAAGAAAAAGAAGGAACATTTTACCATATGTGGTGGGAATGTAAGAAGGTGAAAGGTTTCTGGGATGCGATTTATAATGAATTGAAAAAGATGTTAAAATTTACTTTTGTGAAGAAACCAGAAGCCTTTCTTTTAGGAATTACAGGAAACGAAATAAGAAGAAAAGACTGTAAATTCTTTCAGTATGCAGTTACAGCGGCAAGGATTTTATTGGCTCAAAAATGGAAACAAGAGGAATTACCGACAATAGAAGAATGGAGATTGAAATTGACAGACTATGCGGAATTGGACAAATTAACTGGGAAAATCAGATATGCCCGAGACCAAAGGTTCATCGAAGACTGGGGAAAGTTTGTAGAGTATCTGAAAAATGTATGCGATATACAAACAATGCTAGTGGGGTTTCGAGAGGCGCTGTAAAAACTGAGAGATATTGTCAAAAAAGAAATAGAAGGGAGAGGGAAGACAAACGGCAATATGTGTAAAGGGAATGCGTAATTAAGAGATAAATATGGATGATTGTCAGAGAAGCTGAAGGAAGTCCAAAAGAGATGTTTTGTTACAATTTGGTTAAAAATGTATAAATGCCTTGGAAAATTAATAAAAAATTATTATTTTTTTTAAATGAAGGTTATGCATAGAAATCTGCCATACAGACACTATGGATACCTTCACTTCAACTCAATAAACTGTAGGCTGTGAGCAATTTTATCCACAAAGTTTATTGCAAACTGGACGTAGTGGTCAGTCTTTATGTGACAACATTTTCACATAAGAATCAAAGGTTTACAAGTATTTTCTTCCAACGCATGGAAGAGCTAGTGTTAACTACGTGTTGTCAAGCAACAGTTCCGTACAAACTGATTTTAAAACTTAAATAAACATGCCAGAACAAATTCTGACTGAGTCACAGTTTAAGCTCTTCACGAGCTGTACTATTTTCATCAGAACCTTCTCAACGCACTTTGACGTAAAGACATTAAAAATAGAGGAACACATCAAGCAAATAACTAAAAGCAGTTAACTATTCAGCAATACATTGCAATGTCATTAACCTGGAATTTATTTTAAGCTTCTTGTTGAATTAAGGAGAAAAAGATTTTGCAGAGGAAAAGGGATGAAAGTTGTTTGGGAGAGAATGAAAGAAGATAAAGTCCCTACCAGAGAAGAATGGCAGATCAAGTTGATGGATTATGCCAAAATGGCTAAAATGAGCGGAAGAATCAGAAATCAGAAAGACCAAAATTTTAATAAGGAATGGGGTGAATTTATAACTTTATCTTAAAGCCCATTGTATACAGTTAAAATCATTCGTGGATTGGAATATCACTTGTAGTTTAATGGTGAATCTTGGACACAAATGGAGAAGTAAAAGATTTGGATTATCATAAAAGGTGCAGGAGGAAATGATTGACAATAGGACCCACAAAGGGGAAGAGGGAAGTCCAAGAGATTCCTTGGAATCTTGTTTATATGCTGTATGTTGGATATGTGACTGCATAATTTTAATCTGAAAAATCAAATAAATTTATAAAAAGAAAGAAATAAAGTTGTTTGGGCAGCAGTCATGCTTGTATGGGGATTAACAGCTGGTTTCCATTGCTTACCATGTAGCCCAGGCTTTGACCTTGTGTGCCACTACAATGCATGAAAATATTTTTTTAAAAAAAGGAAATTAGACTAACTCAATTACCTTTTTTTTTTTTTACTTCTTAGTTCCCTAGTATTAACAAGTGCCTAATAAACAATTTAGAAAGTTCACCTAGCATAATTAGCTTTTACATATGCTAATTCCAGGGGATTAAAGCATCTAGCACATATTTCAGGATACGTGGATCTGACATCCCATTTTAACACACTGACATTTATCCCCCACAAACCCATAACAATACAGTAGTGCTTCCTTTACACTCCACCATGAGCCTTGAGATCCTCGGATGCTCCCCTAAGCCCCTGGGGTTTGGTTGGCCTCCACTAAGGACTGTGGCCTTTAGCTCTCAGTCCATATCCCTCACTAGTTCTGCTCTGTGCCTCCCTTGAGTTCATTTGCCTGGCTGCAATGCCTTCCTGAACTGTGCCTCTTACTTGCCTGGGTAGAGGCAACAGTGTGTGTTGGGGCGTACAAAACTGACTTTTGCAAAACTGCAATGAAGTCGACTGCACAAAGGTGATAAGAGCCAGTGTGGTGTAGTGGTTAGAGTGTCAGGCTAGGATCTGGGAGACCAGAGTTCAAATCCCCACTCAGCCTTGAAGCAGACTGAGTGATTTTGAGTCAGTCACTGCCTCTCAGCCTTACCTACATCATAGAGTTGTTGTGAGGATAAAATGGAGAGGGGAAGAACCAGCTTTGCTACCTGGGATAGCAATGTAATAAACAAACTCATAAATAAATTCATTACTCTGCCCATTTTTGCTTCTGGCAGTGACTTCCACTAGCAGGTGGCCCCTGAAAAGTTTTCCACAAGGGCATGTGGCCCTTGGGCTTTGGAAGATTCCCCATCCTTGTGCTGCAGGTTGCAAAGGCTGTCTATCTTCCAGAGGCATCATTCCTTCACCTCCTCTATTTATTCCCCACTCCCCAAATAGGAAACCACCAATGGGTTAGGGTGACTTTTGTCAAAACTGAGGTCATAATAAAATGAGTTTTTTAGTAGTAAAAACACTTGTGGCTTTTTATAGCTTCTGTTATCTGTGCTGCCAATTTAATTGACGATATGAGTCACTGGCAAGCAAATATCCAGATGTTAATTCCAAAGAGGGTGTGATTTTCTTTTATTTGGTGCATGTGTTAAAATATAACATATTCAAATTGTTAGCTTTCACACGCTCAAGCTTTTGTCTACATGGGCATGGCCAGTGCAATGTTTCCTCTTTCCACGAATAATAGAGACTTCCATCATATCTCAAACAGATATTCAAAGTTTAAACTCTGTGGAATTTCCAGTGCAGTCTAATGTGCAATATATGGGGAAGGGAGCAAATGCACATTTAAAGCCCCACTTAACTCTCTCTCTCTCTCTCTCTCTCTCTCTCTCACACACACACACACACACACACACAGAGAGAGAGAGAGAGAGAGAGAGAGAGAGAGATGCCCATATACCTTATTTTTCGCCCTATAGGATGCACTTTCCCCTCTCCAAAAATGAAGGGGAAATGTGTGTGCGTCCTATGGGGCGAATGCAGGCTTTCGCTGAAAGCCTCTCCAGGCTTCAGGAAGCTCTCCGCAAGCCTTGGGAGCCCGCGGAAGTTCCCGTCGGCCTCCCTAGGCTTGCGGATAGCAGCCTGTATCTCGAAGTGCGGGGCGCGCTGTGCAGCGCGCCCCGGGCTTTGGTTCCCTGACCTGGTTTGGAGGCTTGCGGTGGGGAGAAGCGTGCTTCTCCCCACCGCCAGCCCCACAAGCTCGGGGGACAGCAGGGAGGCGCAGCGCCACCATCCCGCTGTTCCCCGACCTGGTTTGGAGGCTGGTGATGGGGAGAAGCGCGCTTCTCCCTGCCGCCAGCCCCACAAGCCCCAGCCCCGCGCCTGGGGGGGGGGGGGAAACAAAATTTGTTTTCTTTATTCCCCCCCCCCAAAAAAACTAGGTGCGTCTTATGGGCCGGTGCGTCCTTTGGGGCAAAAAATATGGTAGTTCTCTGCCCATATAGTAGTCTGTGACTGTGTACACACCATGAATTTAAAACACATTTAAGCTACATGACTTCCCCCAATTAATCCTGGAAATTGCCACAAGGAGTAAGTTACATTTCCTAGGATTCCTTGGGGGAAGCTATGTGCATTCAATGTGCTTTCAATGTGCTTTTAATGGGTGGTGTGTCTTCAGTTGCCTGCATCTAAAGCTGGTTCTGATCTATTACTGATTTAACATATACAATTCCTCATTTACTTGCTTTGTACATAACATGGGTTTGCAAGGCTTTACTTTTTTATGCTCAAGTGTTTGCAGTGCAAACCCACCTCAAAGATTGTGAAAAGCATGCATAAAAAGACAAGCTGAATAAGTCAGGCTTGAAGTACATTGAAGAGATGTGCCAAAAGAAGAGTGCTGGGAACATTGCTTAAAAGTCAGTTAGAGGGCAGGTTTTTAAAAGCCCTGCATGACTCTATGTTGCTTAATTTAAACTTGATAGGATACTAGTCCTATCCTCTGTTGGTCACCCTACCACCCAAGCACACCAAACATATATATCCAGCAGCTCCGTCTTAAAGAATAACAGAATCCTTACAATGGTTTGTAGTAGGGCTGTGTACCCCAGGATCCTTCAGAAGCTCCTAAAATCTGAAGCAATCTGGGGTGATTTGGATATTTTAAAACCCATGCAGACAGACATGTTAGTCTTTTGCAGCAAAAACAGCAAAGAATCCTGTGGCACCTTAAAGTCTAACACACGATGCTGATTTTATAGATGTCTTTCTTTTCAGTCCAATCCACTCTTCAAGTTAGGAATACTACTGTGACAGACTGTTTATGGATAGCCCTTAAAATTCAAAAACATTTTGCCGGTTGATGAGGACCAAACAACAAAACTTATGGGGTGGTCTATATTAACAGGGGCTACAACAGGGGGTCTGATTCTGAACACATAGTTAGAATTTCACATCCTTATGCTATAGCTCTGGGGTGGGACTGAAGGCTGCATTGCATTGTGGAGAAGCAACCAGGGTTTGCATGACAGAGGCAGGTTGGGCAGAGTAAAGGGTGGGATTCTCAGATTTCTACAGTAGGCTGCTCTCTATTGACACATACAACTAAGGGGTTTCTGCACATATTGGAACAACCCTTTATCCTCCAACCAGGCAAGCAAATGCTGTTCTTACCATTCAACAACACATTCTAGCCAGCAAAGTCCCTTGATGAAAGAGTCCAGCAGGTCTGATGAGGTGGATAGCCTGTCAGCTTCACCTGCTGACCAGCAGCCTAAAGGGGGAGAAGGCAGAGTGACTCCACCTGCAGCTAGCTGATCAGCCTTCAAGCACTTGGAGGAGAAGGCACTGATGAGAACCAACTAACTTCAGCCTTCTTAAGCAGAGCTTCCAGAAGCAGCAGCAGTCAGATACTGCTAACAACGCTTGTAATTCCTGGCCCTACCTTGCTGCTTCCTGCTCATCTTGACCCTTGACCCCTGATCCAATGATCATCAGATACCCTGACTCTGGACTGTCTGGCCATGTGGATTGCTGTTTGTGTGACCCTAGGACTGGACCTGACTTCGAATGCTGACTCTGCCTCAGGCAAGTCAACCTCAGAGCCTCTTCTGGTCGTCTGGCCTCCCATGTCACTGATTTCTGCACTTTGTTGCTCAACAATGAGACTACAACATAGCCTGGTTAAAGGGCATTCCCTAGGAGAGTCCCAAGGGCCAGATAGTGAGGCATGGAGGGCCACATTTGGTGCCCTGGGTTTCCCACCCCTCTTTTAGCTTGATAACATGCACATTGACTCCGAAGCAAACCCCACTTTGATCAGTGGGAATTGTTCCAGGTGAGCATTGAGAGGACTGCAACTCTTGACTAAAATTACTCAGGAAGCCATGCATGAGTGTCTGGCCATTTATTGTGTGTCTGACTCATTCACATACACAATAAAGTATTAAATTACTAAAGTAGAATTTAAATTCCCATTTCTGTTTAGCTGATTATTAACTCTGTAAAACCTTGTACAAAGCTACGATGGAAAGATGTCTAAAAGAATGCCATGATTCTTTTAAATGTTCAGTCTCATCCACTTGTATGACTTTAGAAAGGGAAGCAGGTGAGTAAGGTAAACTGAAATGATTCTGTATGATAACATCGAGTTTAACTCTTAGAACTCTTGCTAGAAGGAAGAATATCCTTCATTTATTTCCATTATTTCATTTCTTTTCTTTTTTTAGCAAATTGAAATTCTTTTTGTGTTGCAGTTTTGTTTGAGTTAGTTTGTATATGCCTCAAAGAGAGACACTGGTCAGGATAATAATAATAATAATAATAATAATAATAATATGCTGCAATGGTGGCTGGTGCCTATTGGGACTAGTAGGGTAGAAAGGTGAGAGGCCAAAAGAAAGCACAGCGAGAACAAAGGACAGCAGGAGAAAACTAATTTTAGTTTTGTCCCCATTCTCCCTGCTGCTGAGTTCTACAGGGTCAAAACTGGGACTAAGAAGCAGGAAGATAACAGCCAGGATCGACCCCCTGAATTGGGTGTAAGCTAGGTGAGGACTGGTTGAGGGCAGACTGAGGTTGGTAGGATAGTGCCCCCATCACCCTAATTGACCAGCCTCCACTGTTATAATAATTAAGGTGAATGGAAAAATGTTTCCAGGTAACTACTTATTGCAGGATGGGTGCAACTCATGCATGCAAGTTTTTTTCAGGCTCCGCAGACGTTGGCATCAAAATGTCAGCCTGTGATTTCCCCCTCCCATCCACACAATTTTAAATCAACATTTACCCTTTCCATGAGAAATCTGGGAAGTTAAAAAAAAAAAGGTGCCAATGGCCTATATATTATTTATTTATTAAATTTATTTACCAGTCTTCATCCAAGGATCACAGGGTGGTTTACAATATAAAAACACAAAAAATACATGCCATAGTAACACCCACCCACCCACACCCCAATTTAAAAGGTCATAGATTGTTTAATTGGCTCAAGGCCTAGGAGAAGAGGAATGTTTTTGCCTGCCATGTAAAGATATGTGATGAAGGCACCAGGCAAGCCTCCTTGGGGAGAGCGTTCCACCAACAAGGAGACACTGCAGAAAAGGCCTGCACAGAGCTTGGATTTGGTTTTATTGAAAGAAAATCACTGGAGACTGTAGTGTATTTGTGATAGGTAGTTTTATTTACACAAATATACAGGCAGAGCAGAATATGGAATCACAACTCATAACACAGGGTTGGGGAACCTTTTTGGCTCTATGGCCCATATCCTCAACAGGACTGGCCAATTTTGATAGGTATGTGGGGCCACCCATCTGTTTATCATATGACATCATTAATTTGTTGTTTAGTCGTGTCCGACTCTTCGTGACCCCCTGGACCAGGGCACGCCAGGCACTTCTGTCTTCCACTGCCTCCTGCAGTTTAGTCAAACTCATGCTGGTAGCTTCGAGAACACTATCCAACTGAAGGAGCATATTACAATATAATTGTTCTATTATTGAAGGACATGCTTAAATGTTACATTGCAAATGGGCCCTTCGTTAGAATGTCTAGACTGGGCAGATAGAGATAAAGAACAAGGATTTATTGTCACACCAGGATGAGGGAGGTTGCAGGAAGGAGGGAGAGAAGGCCAAAACCTTATATATAGGAACTTATTATAAGTTTCGATTTCCCAGAAATCAGGTGACTTACAAGAAATCAGGTGACTTACAAGAGATCAGGTGGTATTCTATTTTGCAAATCTATATAAAGGGGCGCAACCTGACTACTGTGTACAGGTTGCGTACTGATCGCCCTGTGCCTTTGTTCTGCATATGCACTTCAAATAAAAAATCCTGTTAATAACCTGCAAGAGCGTTTTGCCACTTTGTGTGAATCTGTGCTTCAGGGACCCAAATAGCAGATATGTGTGGTCCTTCACAACCATCTCGTCCTCTGTCGTCCCCTTCTCCTTGTGCCCTCCATCTTTCCCAACATCAGGGTCTTTTCCAGGGAGTCTTCTCTTCTCATGAGGTGGCCAAAGTATTAGAGCCTCAGCTTCAGGATCTGTCCTTCCAGTGAGCACTCAGGGCTGATTTCCTTCAGAATGGATAGGTTTGATCTTCTTGCAGTCCATGGGACTCTCAAGAGTCTCCTCCAGCAACATAATTCAAAAGCATCAATTCTTGATGGATCCTTCATGGATCATTTCCTTGTCGTGGCGAAGGGGCTTGAATATTTCAGAGAAGCTATGACATCATTAATACATCACCTGATTGGTGGGTAGGCTGCCCCTCCCACATGTCAAAAGCACTTGTGCAGGCTTCCCAAGCACCCAGCAACCAGCTGGCTGGCTGGTGCTTGGGAACAGCAGCACAAACCCTATGCTTTGAGAAGTACCAGCCTTAGTGCTTCTTTCTCCCCTCCCTTTAGAACTATATTTTTTTACATTTGTCTTGGCCTTCTGCTAAACGGCA